TACCACACTGACAGAGGAATAGCAGCAGAAATCACTTCTGAGTGCTCCAAAGAGAACCTAGGATTTACTTGTAGTGTCTCCTGCCTGTTTCCCTAAATTAAGTGTGACTTCACCCAGAGACTGAGATGTGCTCTTTAAACAGAGTCTGACATAGACGCTATCATGTGTGGTCTGTCACGGAAAACGCTGTCATGTGTGATCTGTCACAGACCTCGAATAAAATCTTTTGTACTAATGTTTCTGGGTGAAGGAGGAGGACCCCCACAGTAATCAGATTTCCCTTCACCCCACCTAATCGGATACTTCTGCTCCCACAAATTTCTCTTTCCTAAAGATGAGACATCTAACAGCTCCTGTATCTCAGTACTATATCTCAAGGTATGGCTGTATAAGGTATTAGAAGAGCTTGTCATTACCAGTGTTGCATGTGATTGAAAGCAGGATAGTATCTTGGGAATGTGGAGTGATACTTGCTATATCACTTTCCATGGGAAAAAGTGTTCTGTAGTTAGGACCTGTACCATGACGGAATCACTGGACTTTAAAAGTGCAGTTCATTACACATCAAACAATTTTTTTGCCCCCGCCCCAGTTTGGGGACCTTATCTCTAGAGGTGAAGAAGGAAGATAAGGGGGAACGTGTTTTAGATGTTAAGCCTTCAAAGGGAAGAGACGTTTCTTTTGATCTCACTTCGAAGGTGGATATGTTTCCTTTTTTTACTTGGATCATCTGTCCAACAGCTTCTCTTGGAGCGCCAGGCCCTTGGGAATGGAGCTGACTGAGTAGAACTAGTGCAGAGCATCTGTGTACTGAACTTAGAAGAAAGAGGGTAAAGGTGTTAAATCCCCATACTCTCTTCTTATTCTCCTTTGCAAACGCTTGTGAAAGGTTCAGAGCTCTACGTCTGAAGTCTCTGGGAACAGACCAGAGTCTTGGGTGACGGCAGCGTCAGCTCCTCACTTAAGTAAAAATTAGGGGGGAAGCAGCGCAAGTACTTTGAATGTAGCTTTAGAAAATGAAATGATTCGCTTTGATCTGGCTATCTCAACGTTTGCAAACAGATGCTGACCTGGTAACATCAGTAGTCTTTCTCTATTTTGAATTTACTAACAGTTTTTTCACTCAAACTTTTCTCCTTGCTTCATTACCTTTTGTGCCCAATAGTAGATCTTGTCATTTAACTGTGTTGCAAATTAACGCACCCAGCAGTGTTCGGATCAGACTGACTCTTGTAATTTCAGCTAGTCAGAGTGAGTGTTGTGGCAACACAGAGGGAAGAGGTAAAGCCAAACACTGTTTCACTCTTTTCAGGTGTTTTTTTTTGTTTTCCAGAATACTAGTTATTGTCAATGTGGTAACGTGTACCTTGTACTGAGAAATGTAAAGACCTTTTTCTGCCTATTGAGCTACAGTGGTGGTGTTGTCATTGTTGAATTCATTGCTTAGAACTTTAAATAGCTGAAGGTCAGTTTGTTTCTTGTGGGTGACCTCCTCAGAATGACACTAAGTCCCATCCGTGTCTTGAAAGGCTCGCAATGTAATTTAAAAATAGACAATAGAGGATTAAACCTGGTTGTTGCTGAAGTGATTATGCAGTTTGACTCTTGAGCTGAGACCAGATTAATTTATTGTTTTATGTTAGCCTGCCAGGTTGCTTCAGTAATCTCTGTGTTCCTTTCAGCTCATTATGACCCTCTTGCTTACACCTGCATCACCACTTACTGTTTAAAATGTTTTTAGGCTGCAGAAACATCTTTGCAATTCTGACATAACTTATTTGTCTGCTCATGTTTTCCCAGGAGCCCTAGACTTTGAACATATTGAAGAACAAGCTGAGGGGATCTTTGGTGGAAGGAAAGTATCTTTTCACTAGTACTAATTATACTGTAATTAGATTCCTGGACTGCAGCCCTCAGCAGCCTCACCAGAACTGTGGATTGTGGTTAAAAGTGAGGTAGTAACTGCGAAAAGGTTGGAAACTACTATCAAACTCATTTAGGCTTTGTTTTCATGAAATGGCTTTGATACCGCTCAAAGTAACACCCGTGTGGATTAAAAGTCACAGAGAAGGCACAGGTGCTCTTTCTTCAGCCAGAAAGATCCTCATGGGAGTGCCTCACTTGGGTGGATGGAGGAGAGAAATTGGAGGATTAGTGCATCCAAGCTAAATAGTGCTGTAAAATCTTAGGTGGAAAAGTTTCTGTAGGCAAGGATTGGGACTTCTACTGAGATACAAATATATTTAGCCATGCTTTTTTTTTTGTATAACGCAGCATTAAACCTCACATGCATGAGAGGAGAAAGCAAGCTGTACTTTCAATACCTGCCTTTCTTTTGGAGTTGCTTATATCCTTTCTTGAATCACAGGATGGCAAGTCAATGACAAACTTGAAGTGCTCAATCCTATCCTGATATTCCACTCCCTATCTGTTAGAGCACCGTGAAGCTTTATATCCGAACTGTCCTTAAGCTGTTTGGAGCTGCAGTTCTTTTCTCTAAACCTAAGATAACTGATCTATTGGGGGAGAAGGGGCGAGAGAGATCCACTTGCAGAAATAATAACCAGAGTTGCTCGTATAAGCGTGCAGAATCGGTTGGAAGCAGAATGCAAGAAAGATTCAGGGTCACTGGTACCAAAAAAACAGCATAATTTCTCATGTTCAGAAAGGAGAGGTACAGAGGAAGGAGCATGAGGGAGAAGATTAGAAGGGCTTGACAATTAGCATTGCAACCTGGATGCTGAGGTAGGGTTTTATTTTGTGAACAGTGAGGAAAGGGTAGTGCTAGGGATGGACAAGAACCGTCCGAGCAAAAGGACGGTACTGACATAGGGACAAATAATCCGGTATGATCTGGCCCTGAGATTCTGGAACAGCTTTCTAGTAAAGCAGAATGCCAGAAAACGTGTTATGTCTTAAAATCGTGCTTGATTGATAATTTTGCCTCCCTGTTTAAAAAAATAAAATAAAATAAAATTAATCTCCTGCCACAGGAGACTGGACTTAATAACCCCCGGGACATTAAGTGCAATATGCTAGTCAATTCCTACGTTCTGTTTTCAGTGAGGAGAATACACCATTGGATTTGGATGATCATGGTGGCAGAACGTTTCTCAGAGTTTTGTTGCATTTAACAATGCATGATTATCCTCCTCTGGTGTCTGGAGCGCTTCAGCTGCTCTTCCGGCACTTTAGCCAGAGACAAGAAGTCCTTCAAGCTTTTAAGCAGGTATGTGTACGTATTATCTGCGTTATTCTTCATCTGAATGTATGTATTGCAACTAAAATATCCTTTTTTTGCAACTAACGAATTGCATTCATGTAAGGTTCAACTGCTTGTGACCAGCCAAGATGTTGACAACTACAAGCAGATAAAACAAGATTTGGACCAGCTGAGGTCTATTGTGGAAAAGTCAGAGCTTTGGGTGTACAAAGGCCAGGGTCCAGATGAGACTATGGATGGAGTGCAAGGTGAAAATGAGCACAAGAAAAAAGAGGTAATTAGATTGTGTTTACCCAAATTCATATGCTAGGGTTTTTTTTGAACTGTAACTATTTCCAGAACTATGATCTTAAAAAAAGAAAGCTATCTTTTCAATACACCGCATAGCTTGGTGAATTTATTTGTATTGCTTTTACACGAAGGCAAGCGTTAAGATGAGAACTTGAGCTAATTGATGCCAGTTAGTCTGAGGTGGAAACTGCTCAGAATTAGCACACTCTGAAGTGTCATCTCTAGGCTTTGTCCAGCAGAGCAGTTGGCTTGTTTTTTTTCCTGCCTCCCACCCTTGTGTCCTTTCAAGCACAGAGAGAATGAGTGTGCCTGTTCCCCACCAGGTCAGAAGTACGTAGAACAACACGAGTGCAGAGCTGCAAACCATTAATGGGATGCATTTTGAATCATGACACAGTGTGAGTTGTGGTAGTATAGCGGAGACCGCCGTGAGTGAGGATATCTGGGTACCAGAACCCTAAAGTGGGTCATGTTGACAGTGCTTTCTTAACACAATTGTTTGTGTGACAATCTCTGGCTAAGTTATTTGCATATACAGCATAGGGTGGTTGTACATTTTTTTAGCTATAGCTATTAACATAGTGTATGTATTAATAGTATGTGGGGTTCATGTGAAGCTAATGGTTGAATGCTAAATTAAGCACAGTATGCTAAAGGGCTGTATGAATGCAATACACAGTACAATGAAGAGAAGACTTGAAAAATCCTCAAATATTTTTCAGTCTTTCCCTGCAGTTTTGAGAATTCGCTATTGTAAAATGACAAGAGAACTTAGCATTAAGAAACGGGGTATATGTTGATGCTTTATCTGTAGCTGGCATCTCTGGACTTTATTGGCATGCACATCTGGCATAGAACTAATTAAACGTCTTTTGTCTCAGTGTAATTGCAATCAAATAAAAAAGACTAGGGGAGGGAATGCAAGAAATCATCCCTAGATATGAGTGTTTATTGTTGGAAGTAAATGAGAGTAATTTACTCATTGTTCTCTGTGTGCGTAGTACTGTGAAGCATTTTTTGTTATGAATGTAAATACAGTTTGTAATGTAGGAAGAGAAAGTAAGAAGTTTGGGGAGGGGCTTGATTACAGACAGTTGTTACAGCTGGACGAAAGGGCAGGAGGCTAATGACTAAAATCATTCCACCCTCGCCTTGTTTTTTGCTTTAGAGGTCAATGTGACTTGACGGGATAATTATGTGTTTTCCTGAGACTGTTAGCAAATTGAAGGATGACACTCCTTTCCAGGAAGAGAGCCATCACTACCATAGAACAGTAATTTTAGGCTTTGTGAAGAAAATGCTGTGAGCTACTAATAAATTGTCTGATTTTATCCACAGGAAGGTCACAGCAAGTCACAAAAACCTGAAAGTACTAGCAGCTACAACTACCGTGTAGTAAAAGAGGTAAGACTTTGCAGCTTTAGAGTTAAATGGAAGTGTGAACGAGTAGTGCAGCTCTGGAGAGCTGCAGTCAGAGGGAAACACCCCGGAAAATCTGAGTCACTCTTCCATTGTGGAAACTATTTGCTGAGTAATAACATAGCCCAACTTGAATGAGAAGCCAGGAGTATAAGAAGTGTGACATGTGTACGCTTTCCTTAAGAATGGTTTAGTGAGAAATGTAACATTATGTTGCTGTTTCAATGGTAACACAATATTTTTATTATTAAAGACTATAAAGGAAGTAAGCAAGTCAAGAAGCTGTTTAAATTGCCCTGTCCTGAGTAGCTTGCGCTCAGAAACACCACGCTGCTGTGAAATTTAGGTTCAAAAGTACCGGGCAAAGCATGTGTTGCCACTTGTGTGTTATGAGACAATGGGCTTTCTGTGGCACCGTGCTGTTGAGCCAGATGTTGTGTTAACTCCACAGGGCTGAATTCTGCAGGGCCAAAGCTAGTTATAGAGAAACAAATAGTGTCGCAGTCAGTAAACTGCCAGATGTGATAAAATAGCTGTTGCCACGCTGCTTGCTGCTTATATGCCGCAACGATGACAGATCGTGCGGGCTCCAGTCTCACGGGAGCGTGGTGGCGAGCGGAGCGGCAGTCGGCCCCGGGGAGCAGCGGGTGCCCTGCGCCTCCCCGGCCCTGGTGCGCCACGTTGCCTTGCAGCGCTTAACTCCCCCTCTGTCCTTTCGTATTGCTGCTGTTGTTATTGCAGGAGCAACCAGGCCTTGGTCTGGCCTTAGCTACTCGTTTTGAGACCACAACTTCTCTTTTGCTGACAGATCGTTGACCTAGAGCTCCTCTGGTCTGTTCAGGTTTGCTTTCTGCCGTTATCACTCTGGGAGCCACCTAGTACGTTTTACAATAAAATGCAGAGTTTCAGTTTTAAAGCTTGTCTCTTCCGCAGATTTTGCTGCGGCTTAGCAAGCTCTGCGTTCAAGAAAGTGCTTCAGTCCGAAAAAGCCGGAAACAGCAGCAGCGGCTTCTGAGGAACATGGGAGCTCACACGGTTGTGCTGGAGTTGTTGCAGATCCCTTACGAAAAGGTTAGGTTTCTGTACAGCTATTGCCTTCCTTCCTAATGTGTTAACTAGCTTTTAATACTTCATCTGAATCTTCCTGAACCTTCTACCTTTATGTGAGATTCAAGGAACATATTTTAAATATCTATACTTCAGAAATAATTGTGAGCTTAGGTAGGCTTTTGTTTGTTTGGATTCTTTGAATATACAGTGTTCTGCACTAATTCCTGAACAGGTGTTTTGTCCGTTGTGGCTTGGAATAAGACCGAGGCTTAACTTTCAGGTTTTCATGGGACGTATGTGCTGCCTTCAGGTTAAGTGGTGTTCGTGGAAGCAAGGCACAAGTTACTGCTGTGGGATGGCTCTCACACAGCTACCTTAGGAAGTCTCATGGGAAACCAGGGTACCTTGTCACTGATGGGGATTCTTGGCAGCATACCTGCAGACACCTGTGATCTGTCCGGTAGTTAGAGAGCAAACACAGAGGCAACTTCCCTCATCCCTGCTTCCCAGTTGTGGGATCCCAAACTCCCCCTTGGAGAGGAATAAATATCAATTGGCTACCTAGGAGAGGTCTTCCGTTCATAATCAGCCTTATCAGAGTGCGCTGTTATGTCAGCTGTACAGGTTGAACCCCACTTTGCTGGGCTGCTCAGTTCGCCTGAGCTTGCCCGGATCTCTGCACAGCGCTGCACCGAGCTGGTAAACACACCCTGAGTGGATTGCCTTGGCTCCCCATTAGTCACTGATGACAGGTATTTATCGTTGCATAGGTGAGGGAGCTCTTCACATTTTCCCAACTACTCTGCTGTCATCTGTTCCAAACTCCACAGATTTCTGAGAACCAGTAATTCCAGACAGTAGCTTTGAATAACGTTAAGCTAAGTCTCGGCCTGTCCTGGTTCATATTTTGCCAAGAAAAATCATCGGCAAAAACAGCTCCTCCACCACCTCTTGTCACCCTTCTGTCCCATACATATAAGTACGCTATTGGACAGGCAGTGTGGAAGGTGCTGTACCCTTGCTAATATATGTATTTCCTTAAAAATAAAAGCAGACATTGACTTTTTCCAAACTGCATTTTATACCATTAGTGGTTGGTAATCTACACTGATGTCAGAGGAAAGGCACTGATTCCTGAACCGTACTTGGAAGCACTCAAATAGCGTGCAGATTCCAGTAAATATAAACTGAGCTTAACTGTTGCAATAATAATTTTCCGTCTCCTCTTTGCCATAAACTACCTATTTGTTGCTGCTAAAATGCATTTCAGTGGAACGTGGCAATTTTCCTATGTAGCCCCAAGGTGGTGATGCGTGGCTTGGCCCTCGTACTGGTATGTTCAGAAGCTTAAAAGCGACTAGAGCACGTTGCTGGCAAACTTGGTCCTGGACTATGCATTTCTAGAGAACAAACTACTGTAATTTCTATTATGGTCTTTATTTTTGATGGTCTTTAAAACTGTGAAGCAGGCCAAATTCATCCCTCATGTCTGTGAACTGGGTGGAGGCTTGTTTTTCTTTGGAGTGTGAGCGAGACGTGACAGTTCTCTTGCAGCGCTGGAACTGAGGCTCATGCAGTGTACTCACCTGAAAGTGAACCTTTAGATTCTTTTTAACCCTGTCTTTTGTCATGCAATCACAGGCTGAAGACACAAGGATGCAGGAGATAATGAAGCTTGCACACGAGTTTTTACAGAACTTCTGTGCTGGGAACCAACAGAACCAGGCATTGCTACACAAGCACATAAACCTGTTTCTTAACCCAGGGGTAAGAATAACTTCATACCTATAGCTTCCTCTCCCCCCCCCCCCCCCAAGAAAAGAGAATGGCTTGTCCTTGGTGATTGCCTCTGGGCCTCTTCTGATACCAGACTGGCTGAAGGGTTCATGTCTTGTTTTCATTCTAAAGCCTAGAAAGTTGGCAAGATGTGTTTAGGACTGTTTCACTGTGAAAAGTTCAAGAGGCTGAACTGAAAAATGGCCTCAAGTACAAGTCCTTGTGCTAAAATATTAAATCCTTGGAAATGTCCCTTTCAATCATGTACCTTACAGGAGTGTGGCCTTTATCCTGACCTCTGGGTTTGGTGATTTGTTTGGTTTTTAATTTTTCTTTCTTTCTTTATCCCCTTCATTAGATCCTGGAAGCAGTAACAATGCAACACATTTTCATGAACAACTTCCAGCTTTGCAGTGAGATTAATGAACGAGTTGTTCAACACTTTGTCCACTGTATAGAAACACATGGCAGAAATGTTCAGTACATAAAGTTCCTGCAGACAATTGTCAAGGCAGAAGGAAAATTCATTAAGAAATGCCAAGATATGGTAATGGCTGAGGTGAGAGCTGCACAGATTTGCAAGGTCTGAACAGAACTTTTCACATACCATTTGGTAAAAGTGACAAATTGATCCTCTCACTTCTGGGAGTGCCAAGAAACTGACAGTTAGCTTTTACAATGCAAAAAGAGCATATAGCTACCAGAAAGTACAGGCTTTTCTGTGACCGAAAGCTCTCTGTGCTCATCGCCTATAGGTATACAGAAGGATTGGTTATTAATGATACTTGCAAGTTATTTTCCAGACTTCCACAGAGCAGAGTTATGGTGGGCTTAAGGTGAAGGAAGGGTGCCTTTCTCTAGCAAAATTGGCTAGATGAGAAACAGTTTAATTCCAAGAGCACTGACGCAGAGGGAAAATTTTACCATGATAGCAGAGTATCTTGATGGGAATTTCTTCTCATCCTCAACAGTTGGATATATGAGTCTTGATAAGTGCTGAAGGAGGAAAAGATTGAGTGTCTTCAGAAGTCTGGGTGTGTAGGTTACTGGGGAAATAGATATATCAGGATAGGAGGGAGAGGTGAGAAAAGGGTAAATAAATCCCTTTAATCCCCTTCAGAGGTGATCGGTCTGACAGCGTATTGCCTGTCTGAGGATGACATGTTAATTGGCCTCCTCAGCAGGGGGAGCCCAAGGATCAGATTTGTCAAGTTCTGGCCTTTGCATATCAATCTTACTACACTGATCAAAGGTCTTTCACATGTTGTGGTTCAGTTTTAAAATGGCTTTATGAGCTTACCTACACAGAGTCAAGTTTGGAAGCTGATTGCTGAGCATCTTACATGGAGGTCAGCATCTGCTGAGAAGGAGGATTATCTTATATGCTTTAGTTAGCCATGTGCCACAGACTCTACACGGAGGACTGTCTCAGATCTCTGAGCCTACGTGCTCAGCCTGAGCTCTTTATCGTTTCCTTGATGGAGTTATGGGAGGTGTGAACTACTCTGAAAATCTGGATATCCAGGTCTAAAACGTGAAGTTGACAGAAATCTTCATTGTGTGACTTAACATGTCGCTAGGCAGTCTTGGAAAATTGATGTTTGTTCAGAAGGGTGGAATTATTGGGCCCTGCAGTCTTCCCATCCGGTGCGCCCCTGGGGCGTTTCTCTGAACAAAACTGTGTGTCTGCAGCTAACTGCACTAAAAAGTCAGCTGAGGCAACGCATGTGAAATTAGAAAGCACAATGGAAGTCACAAGCTTCTTGGCACAACTTCTGTCTAAGCAGTCAGTTGAACTGACTTTGAAGTTCTTCGGCAGTTTAGAAGGGGTAGGTTCTTTAAGAGAAAATGTCATGTTTGAGCCATCTATCCCATGAAGAAGAATGTCCAGCTGACTTGGCGGGTAGCACTTTTAAGTTTCTAAAGAATAGCTAATCAGGATTTGCACTATAACGGTCAGCCCACAGATTAGGAGAAGATGCGTGGGGAAAGGCACAAGTTTTGATCTACTGATAGAATATTTTTCTTTCTTGGTAGCTGGTGAATGCAGGAGAAGATGTCCTGGTTTTTTACAATGACAGAGCCTCCTTCCAGACTTTGGTGCAAATGATGAGATCAGAGAGAGATCGGATGGACGAAAACAGCCCGTTGATGTACCATATCCATTTAGTAGAACTGCTTGCTGTGTGCACAGAAGGCAAAAATGTCTACACAGAAATAAAATGCAACTCCCTTCTCCCTTTGGATGACATTGTTAGGGTAGTAACCCATGAGGATTGCATACCTGAGGTGAGGGCTGTTTGGTGGCACTTACCTATATATATTTGAAGCGTACTGGCAGCGCTTGAGAAGGATTCAGTACTACCGAGTCTGGCCTGGGAAAGGTGGTGGTGCAGGTGAACTGTGAGCTGGGAAACTGGATTGCTTTCCTGGTTCTGCTATAGGCAACCTAAGCGAATCTGGATAGCTAACTAAATCCTTTTGTATTTGTTTGCTTGCCTTTAAAGTAGGGATGTGATGCTTTACTTGTTTTATAGGGTTCTTGAGGCAGGGGGGTTTATGGAGTTTGCTGCCAGCCTTGAACAGATGGTTTTGCAGAACTAGAAATGATTATTATGCTGACGTTTTGTCTGCAATAATCCTGGCATTTTTTTTATTGGGTGATGTCTTGCTATTAATGGCATTAAATTTCACCGGTGCTTAAATAAAAGGAAGAAGTTGAGCTACAAATGATTTATAGGGCAGTTTCAGTGTGGCGGTACGTTTATTTGCAATACCGTTTCAGGCCTTTATTTTTTAATGACTTTTTTCCCCCTCTACTTTTAGGTTAAAATTGCATACATCAACTTCTTGAATCATTGCTATGTGGACACAGAAGTAGAAATGAAAGAGATTTACACCAGTAATCATATGTGGAAGCTGTTTGAGAACTTCCTGGTTGACATCTGTCGGGTAATAATTTCTGTGTCTAGGAGCTGAAATCAAAAAGTATAAATGAACCTGTTTAGTACGTAGCAGTAAGAGTAAGTCGTAACAGTGAGTTAAAGCAGTAAATGCCCTTAACACAGTGCTGTTTCACATTTATATTTGCCTTCTTTTCCTCGTGCCTGTGGATTTCATTAGTCATATTCCGTGGAACGCATTAATATTTTCCTTTTAAACAAAAAAAAACCACTCAAAAGCTCCACACCCTATTCCTTTGTCTGATGCCTTTTACTGCTCTGCCACCTGGCTTGGTTATTCTGGCCAGGATGTTTAGCTCCTTCCCGAGCGATAGTCAACGGTTTTTGGCAGGTCGGGACAAATTTTTTCCAGGCTTGGCGTTTGCATGGCCATATGGCTTTTTGCCTGGGATTCCAAGTATTTCCCCATACGAAAGCATTACGCTTCAGTCCTCCCTACCCTACTACTTTCTTTCCTCTAAGGCATTCTGTTTTTTTTTTTTTTTCCCCCCTCCCTCCTAAGCATGCTGTATGCCAACGCACTGAAACACCAACAGTGTTGGGCTTCTGCTTTTGTTGTGATCCCAGTTTCATAAATATCATTGTGACAGGGAGTTGCGCTGACTAGAACAATGCAAAACAAGTTCCCATCCATAATACTTATCAATCTATCTTGGTCAAGCTGCTTTTGATCTCGGAATGAATTGTCTTGCAGGCTTGCAACAACACGAGTGACAGAAAGCATGCTGACTCCATATTGGAGAAGTACGTTACAGAAATAGTGATGAGTATAGTCACCACTTTCTTCAGTTCCCCGTTCTCTGATCAGAGCACTACTTTGCAGGTAGGAAATTGAAGAGATGGAAGAGTGCAAATATGCTACCAGTGCAATTATGCTGATTCCACTTTGGTTCCGTTTCTGAGTTAAAAAGAAGAATGCATGTTTGCAATGGAGGGAGCAGATATTTATTCTTTCTGACCAGGGTGTTTCTTTGGCTGTAGAAGTAGAAAAATTTGTAGACGAGAGTACAAGCATTTTCAACAGAAGCTGAACTGTTAGATCACACTAGATTCAATTCGTTATATACCATAGAGACCACATTAGCCTTTGTGGAGGGAGAGTCTACATGTCATTGTTATGGTTTCGGTTGAGAAAATCACACAGCAAGTAGACAAGCGAAGGATTTGTCCCTCTTTCTTACTGCAGTTGCATCTAAGTGCTCTGCTCCTGATCCATGACCTCTTTGCTGCCACAAGACCAGGGTACAGCTGAAGAATAAGATGATGGGGGCAGGTGTAGGGGAGCAAAGAGAAGCAGTTTTGCTTAGCTGATAGTTTGAGCATGCCAACTGTCTAGCTGCAGTAAAGCAGTAGCATTGCAGCAGAGTTCTTAAGAGTGACTTGAAGAAGGATGATAAACAACTTGGCAAGCCTTGCATGCTAGAGGAGAGGGTGTTGCATTACAGATGGTACAAAGGTGATTATTTAAAGAGAACATGCTTTTATAGAAAGATTCTTATTTCCTTTAAAAACAAATTTTCCGAAAGTTCTAGTATTTTTCATTCCACTAATTTCTCATCTTGTGCAGAAGTTGGGGAAATGTGGAGGAGACGCTTGGAAGGTTCATGAAGTGACAGAAGATAGAGATTTCTTCTTTCCAGTTCCTCTCACTTGCCTCTTAGAGGAAATGAGGCCAGGAGCATCGAACAGCAGTGTCAGGCTATAACCCTAGTATTTGTATTGCAGCATCTTGATAACATTATTTATAAATACCTCCTTGGGAGAAGCGTAGGTGGAGCAGTCAGGTGCCCGAGTGTCTGTCAGAAGTCTGGGTATGGTTATTGTCAAAACTTGGTGCAACTTCTTTGCACAAAAGGCAGTTGCTCAGAGTGCAAACCCCAGGTTTGTAACTGGGTGCAAATGGCAGCAAGTTAGGAAGCATCTGGCTTCCAAATGTGGCCATAGAGGGTATCTGGCAATTTGCCTCATCAGTCCCTGCTCAAGGAATTGACATTAACCCTTTGGATCATGGTGCACGGACTAGGTGACTGCAGTGTCCTGTGCTCCAGGGAAACGTGCATAAAACTCTACTGCGTGGCTTTGCGTCAGGTAAAGGCTTACGGGTCCTTTCTGCTTGGTGTTAGCAGAAATGTTCCTACTTCCCTGTGACTGACTACCAATATCTGTTTTGTTAACAGTCTCCCCTCCTTGAGTCAGGATGTGTACTCAGCCCGTGTCTGGATGACCAGTTGCCAGTTTGATCCAGCTGACTGTTGTACGTTAAACGGAGGCTTGGCGCTCATAGCGCTTAGACAGCGAGCCTTATTCAGACAAGAGGATAGTTGCACTGAAAGCAACAGTTGTGTTTGGCTCGTGTGCTCTTAAGTTGCCAAACTCTGTGTGTCGCTTGTGAGAGCGCAGATAGTTGCAGCAACTGTTTGGGCCGAACAGCTTTATTAGGGCTGTGTCTTAACTCACAAAAGTCTGAGGAGTCCGACAGTTAACTTGCTGCTCATGTGACTTGTCAGCCACTGTGCTATGAGCTTTGATGCTAATTTGTCAAAGCTTTATCCCAAAAAAAAAAAAGGGAAGTTCAGATGAATAGTTAGCCTTGTCCCCCAGGGCTGTGCCCTTGGCCTTCTCTTTTCCCTCTGTACTTCATATGCCTAAGACTTCCTTGGCTGTCATACCTTTAATTGCCATCTCTGAGCTTACAACCTTCAAGTAGACCTCCTTACCATGAGATTCTAGCTATCTGTTAATTTTAATGTCAGTGGTTTTTCTCAAACTATCCCTCTGTCTAGCAGGACAAAGTAGCTTATTTTACCTCTCTGCTATCTTGGTTGATAGCTCTTTTGTTTTATCTTGTCCTAGATTTGTCTGTCCTCTACATCTTGGTTTAAGTTACAGTCCCTGTTTCTCTACCTTTTTCTGCCTGTCAAACTCTTGTCTGTACCTGGAGATTCTCCCGCCTCAGGACTACAGCCTCTTGGACTAGCTGGTTGGTGTAGGTCGCTCCTCTGAATCAGATTTTGCCCTCCCCTCAGATTTTGCAAGGCTATCTGCAGCTGCTTTTACCTGATCACTTTTACCACTTTTCTCTCGCCACTGTTTGGATAGGTGAATGACCTTTGCTGCTCTCTTTTGTGTTGCATTTGGATTCAGCTGCTCTCCGTTCCTTCTGCTATGCCTTGTCATCTTCCCGTGCAAGCCTCTTCTTGTCTCATGCTATTTCATGTTATGGCTTGTTTGACTTAAATTGTGCCTCCCTTGAGTCAGGACCAGCCTTGCTTGTTCAAGGAACACCTTGTGCATCCATCACACAGTGCAAACAATATCAAACTGGAAGAACATAAATATGTCCTTTCAAAGAACAGCTGTCCAAAATTTTTCCTCTTATCAAGTCCTCATTAGCTTGCTTGCCTCCTAAGTGTGCTACTGCCCAAGGTTTTCCTCCACAAGTTTAGCTGGAGGCATATGGGACATGGAGTGAATTTCTTATTTGATTTATTGGTCTAGTTTAAGCGAAAGCAACATCTTCTGAAGCTTTTTAGACTAAGTCTTTAAAACACGAACTGAAAGAAATATGTGGGTGACTTAAATCCAAAAGCGCAAGTATTTTTGGCGCCCTTGGCAAATACTAGTATCTGCCATATTTTTGATGTTTGGCTTATTTCTAGAGGGAACGACGAGTACTTGCTGTCTTAGTAATTTTTGGTTCTTCAATTGTGATTATCCTCTAGGATATTTCATAATGGCGTTATTTAATGAGCTGATTTAATGGAGTTAAGGACTTCTGTTTTTCTTTCCTCTAACTCTACTTCTTTCTTACAAACAGACATCAATCTTGACCAGAATAAAAGAGGTATTTTTTTCACTGGTTCCTAAGTCTTGCGGGCTTTGCACTGTGGTGTAGTTCACTTAGCAGATAGAAACATGACTTATCTAATAGGCACGGAGACATGGGTATTCCCTCTCACTATAGGTCCACTTAAAATATTTAAGAATCTGTCCTCTACAGGTAAAATAATAAGTTAATTGTTTTAATAACTGCTGTGCAGAACTGAACAGGGATTTGATCAATAATGTTTGGATTTTGCAAAGATGAAAGAACAGAGCTCATGTGCGTGTGTGTGTGTGTGTTGAGGAGCTAATCTATCTATAGTGCAAAATCACCTTGCAAAATACATGGTTAAAAGACACACCTCTATTTTGGCTGATCCATAGCAGCTGTAGTGTTTACCACTAACTACTACCTATGTTCAGAATAACAAGCATACAGCTGGTTTCTTCAGTAAATTAGATACCAGCTAATACTTGAAATGATGAGTTTTCAACTCCAGAGTTGTGCTCTTAGCCAAGAGCAAAGTCCCATTTGCCTACTCAGTCAGCTGCTGGTCAATGCTAAAAGAAGAATCTGTTTGCCACGTTTGCCCATAGCTCTGATTAAACAGATGAAGATTACTGCTTATTTCTTTTGCTTAGGCAGACTTAAATTACGAAGGCTTTATGCTTTAGAAGCTATTTATTTAATGTTTCCTTCCAGCCTTCATTCCCACCCTTTTCCATTCAGTTGCTGATTGTGGGGTAGATACAGTGTCTACAACATGAAATTGCCTAACGAATGGGTGCAGACCGGTTAGAAATGACCGGGCTGCAAAGAATCATGGCCGAAGATGGCAACCTGTGTTACTTTAGGGTGATGGTAATGCATCTCTGTGTGACATGATAAGTTAGATCTTTTTTTCTTTAACCTTGTGTTCTAGACCCGCCAACCTGTGTTTGTACAACTGCTACAAGGCGTGTTCAGAGTTTACCATTGCAACTGGTTAATGCCAAGCCAAAAGGCATCAGTGGAAAGCTGCATTCGGGTGCTCTCAGATGTAGGTAAGAAACGTACTCAATGGAATCAGATCTCACTGCTGCAAACATGTTCATCTGTTGTGTGCTGCCTATGTGTCATCCTTCCCCCCAAAAAGTGCAGTTTACTTCTAGCAGGTGCTACTTGAATTAACTCAGAGCCAAGGGATAGTGCAAAGCCAGAATTATGTTGGCTTGTTACCATGATTGAGCAATAGGTGTTGTCATTGTAACCTGAAGTGCTTTCTTGATTTAACCTCAAGCTCTGCAGTCCCATTGATCTGTGAGGGAAAGGTCCCTCTATAGTTTAGTGCTGCTCCTCCCAATAATTTGCGCTACTTTTACTTACGAGAAGAGTAATTTATACTGGATGTGAGGCCAAGCACTATTGGATAGATGCACGTGTGTTAACATGAGTGTTGGGTGTGTATGTGTGTAAGCACAGATTCCTACTCACGCACTTTGAATGTAGTAAACAGCTCCGAGGTGTGAAAGCCTTTACACATAATGCCACAGAGAGGTCTGACCTGTTACTCAGGGGTTGAATGTTGCATTGTTTAAAGCGCACGTGAAGGAGACCGTGGAAGGAATTGCAAGAAGAGCTTGTCTTGTTCTTGTATTGATTGTAATATATGGACTAAAGGAGTCAATTCTTACCAACTTTTGCTTATTGCAGCAAAAAGCCGAGCAATTGCAATTCCTGTAGACTTGGACAGTCAGGTCAACAATCTCTTCCTGAAATCTCATAACATTGTACAGAAGACTGCAATGAATTGGCGTATGACCGCAAGGAACGCGGCCCGCAGAGATTCGGTGCTTGCTGCCTCCAGGGATTATCGAAACATCATTGAGAGACTGCAGGTGACTACACAGCACCCTTTCCTCCTTTGGTAACCGTTACTTGCATGTCTGCATGAAAGGAGGTATTAACTAAGTAGAAAGACATTTCAGTAATAACTAGTCAGAATGCCGCATGGTGACAGAGTTAGCTAATGCTGAATGTAATAACGTACATAAAATCGAACGTAAACCATTGTATCAAGAAAGGTATTGAACATTCACAGCTAATGAGTATAGGTGTTTGGCCCTAGAAGATGATGCTATTTCAAGTTAGTAGTACTTAAAACATACTCGTTCCACCGTTAGTTTGAAATAAAACGCTTCTTTGATAAGACAGGGCTCCCATTGTTGCAGCTTTCCAAACCTTTCCAGTGTTTTGCTCGTTGTACGTCAAAACTCTTAGTATAATGAAAGGTAAAACAACCCTGCCTGGAAACCACAGCAGAGCTTGAAATAAATGAATGAATTGACCCTTGCAACCAAAGTCATTCTCCCAAAACAAAGCATGTGCATTTTTATACTCTTTCCGCTCAAAACAACGTAGTGCTTTGTGTTAGAAATGGAGAGTAATGTGTTACATCTGTATTTTATGTTCAGATCTGTAGAAGATTCAGTAAGGTCTCTTTTGTACCAAATAAAATTCATTATCTTGAATTGTGCCTTCATGCTTTTGAAGATTCATTCTGTGTTCAGAAGCTTTTCTGGCAAGCAGCTTTAACTAACTTTACGTAAACTTATTACGTAATGTAAAAACACTGCCCAGCCCATTCTCACTGAAATAATTCCTCACTTTTTAAGCATTCTTGTCTATTTGTCCATGTCAATTTGATTAAACTTTCTCTCTGGCTTCGTATGCATCTCAGTATTTTCTGCTTATTTAGGTATATTAAGATGAATGTGGTCTTGTTTTAAGGTAGCTACAGCTTTTCAAAATGCTGATGAAAAGGGGAAGTATTTTGGTTTTGCATAATTTCACCAGTAGTGCTTTTTTGTCAGTTCGTGTAAGCATAAATATCCTGATCATTATCACAAAGTTTCAATGCAGCTATGAGTCTACATTTTTCTGTCTTTCTCCTGTATGAACAAGAACCACCTACGAAGATGGGGAGGGCAAGGGGAATTAAGTAATCTAGGCTCTGCTGAAAATTAAGGCTTCCACTTAAAGAAAATTATTTAAAAACAAACAAACAAACAAACTGAAAGTGAGTCTGTGTAAGCAGGACAGACTTAACTATCCTATCTCTTTTTGCAGTTTGTTTAAAAGAAAACAAATTGCATATAAATTTATATATATTTAATGTTTGTTTAAAATACTGATATGGTTATATTCCAGGACATAGTGTCAGCCTTAGAGGATCGCTTACGTCCTCTGGTCCAAGCAGAGTTATCTGTACTGGTAGACGTACTTCACAGGCCTGAACTGCTCTTCCCAGAGAATACAGATGCAAGAAGGAAATGTGAGAGCGGAGGTTTCATTTGCAAGTAAGTTGTTTTGAGAAGTCTAGCTTGCTGAAGGTTTTTTGTATGTTTATTTTTCCCCAATTTTCCCATGCCCTATGGAATGATGCCTTCTTGCCTAGCTTTATGTAAAGCACGGTATTTTATAGTATGGTAGATGCAATTTGTCCTTAAAGATTAAGGCCTTTGCTTGGGGGTGGAGGAAGACTGACTGATATGCCCTCACAACTGATGCTTGAAGACATCTGCGTTTGTGCAGCACATAAACATAATGAACGGAAGTATAAATAAGCAAAATTTTTTGAGCTGATCCCTGTTATTTAATCTTCGTCTTCAATCCTAATCAGGTTTGCACAACACTTGTCTTATAGCACTTATTACTGGGGTAATATGCCAAAATCAGTTGGTATCATGTGCATCACCTAACTCAAACGCCCAAATTTGGAGGGAAGGAAAAGGCAAGATTGCAGGGTCATTTAAGGGGAAATTCAGAGCTGAATTCAGGGTTCTCAGATCATCTCCTGGAGGAGCATGTTTTCTATTCCAGATTATAGACAGAGTTTAGGGAAACTAGGTACCTACCTTGAGTGAAGACCCAGTTAGGTAACAAATACTGCATGGAATGGTCTTCTAATTGTACAGCCCAGGACTCTCAGTATGTTTTTTTTTTTTTCTTTTAACAAACTAGTATGTGGAATATTTTTCTTATTACTCTTAAGTATTAGTTTTGGAGGACCATCAAATCTTTAATTCCACTGTCCCCTCCTCTGATTCCTGTCTCCCTGTAGTCAGATGGGTTTTATCTGACTGTTGTCCAGCCAGGAGGACTGGAGTTTCCTTCATAGCTTCACTGAAGTCCAAGGTAGCGTGTTAATATTCTCTCAGCGATATTTCTCAGGATCATTGTATAATGATATGACAAAAGCATGTTTTAATTAAACTGTTGATTGTAGCTTAAACCAATCAAGTAAGATAGCCAGCCACATATTTCCTTTCCCGTTTTTAGACATACTGGTACTAAAACTATGATCTCTTGGTTGTTTTCAGGTTAATAAAGCATACTAAACAGCTGCTAGAGGAGAATGAGGAGAAATTATGTATTAAAGTATTACAGACACTCAGGGAAATGATGACCAAAGATAGAGGCTATGGAGAAAAGGTACGTAATTTACAGTTCATCGTTCTCTGTTCAACGCTCTCTTCGTTATTCCGTGAAGAAAAATACAATTCTGTCTCTTTTAAGCTGCGTTTTGTACATGTAAGCATTTCTGTATTGGATCAGGCACAAAACATTTTTAATCAAAGAATAACTTCATATACAATTTGAAAGGTAAGTTTGTTTCTGTTGCTTTTTTACTTTAGACTTGCAAGCTTAAGTCCAATTCCTGCAGTTGCTGGCACTATAAGAATATCTAATTTGATTACCTTTTTATGAAGGTTGTAACCTTTTTATCTGCTTTTTGGGTCTAGGTGACTCTTCATCAGGTCACATAACTTTGCAATAGCGTTTTTTTTGTGGTTTTATTTTAATTTATATGCATCTGAGTCATCATCTTCATGTGAATTATAGATGGAAACTGTCTGTACACCCACCCATGTTTTTTTCTTTCTCTTTACTTGCATACAACTCTTCTGTCTTGCTGAGAAGAATGTTTTTCTGTAGCTGCAGACAGACCTATTCTCTGTATCAGTAGAGTGTGTATATGCCGTTGTTTCTGTACCTAGTCACTCCTACATTCAATCTCAAAATTCTAATCTCTCTCATTCATTTTTAAGCAACCTAGATTATTAACATGCATCACAGTCGGAATACAGAGGTACACTATAGTTGGAGAGCCGTTTACAGTACTTTTTTATTATAAAATTGTGGAAAAATAGGAAAGCAGGATTAGAGCAGGATTGTGGATTTTAATAGAGGGGTTTAATACATACCTTGCCTTTTGGAATAACTACAGAGGAAGAAACCGTTGTGTTTTCCATATGTGAACTAAAAATAGATACACATTCTAGACTAGGGAAAATAAGCAAATATTTGCAAGTGTGAATTCTTAGAGGGGAAACAGTGGGTTTTTGCCTTGAATGTCTATCTTGCTCCACAGCAAACATGCCTGGAGATTTCATATGTGTGGCAAAAGCATACAAAAGAAAGAACTGGAACAATATACCATCCTGATGACCCTGCTCACAAGCAATTCAGAACTAACAGTCAGAATTAAGGATGGAAGCAGTTGTGTGGATGGACAGTCACTGGAGCTGGGAATCTCGGGTGGGGAGCAGATAACATCTCCTGTCACTTTCTCACTTGCAGTAGGATTTAAAGGTGTTGGATAGTGCTAGATTCACAGCGTAACGTGACAAAAAACTTCAGAGATCAGACAGCTTCTTAACAACAGTAATTGTTTATGTTTGTAGCCACAAAGGAGGCTCAGCACTTCTGAGGTTGCGGAGGGCAGGGGAACCAGTAGAGTCACTGGACTGAATGGGTACTGCACACAGCCTCTGCCTGGTCTGGCCAGTTTCCCTGGAGTGCAGAGACCTGCAGGAGGGAGGGCGGACACCTAGGAAAACGCCCAAAGGGCAGGGATAGCCCTGCCACCCTGGGCTCCTGCCTTGTCAGGGAGCGCTGCTCCCACGTGCTGTTACGACCCTGGGCTCTCAGTAATCCAGCCCATCTCATGGTTGCTGCTGCTTTTCCTTTCCTCTAGATCTGCAGTACTACTTAAGGAGTTTTTTCACCTTGCAGTAGCAGTGTTTTTTGAATAAACTCATTTACCTTGGGGGAAATGCCCTAACCAGCTGCAAGGAAGAAGCATATAGATGTAGGATGAGAGGGGCAGTGGAATGGTTAAAGTGCAGGAATTGCATGGAAATAGCTTCTTTTCAACACGTCCATTTTGGCTAAGGTGGCCTAATTTGTGCTGAATTGCAGTCCTCTTGGCTAAACCCTGCTGCAGCTCTCCTTCCCCTCCCAGCCCCACGGTTACAGCTGGAAGTCTTCAGCCTGTGTATCCCTTTCCTGGGACACCTGTAACATAGCACAAGTCTCATCTGGAACTGGACTAGGCAGAGCCTGCTCTAGCAAAAGGGGGTTGGGCTAGATGATCCTTTTTAGCAAGTGTTGAATGCTGATATTTTTTTGCCCAAAGCTGGAGGTGTGAAAGATGATGCAAAAACATAGATTTGGCTTTATGCTTGGTTAGTAAATTCATCAGTGTACGTTCTCCCATCCATTAAAAACAGCTAGGAGAGACAGGTCAAGATCAGCCCAAGTAACGTAAAGGGTGATTGGTCTTTTGTACAGCAACACAACCCAAATGAAAGCTTCCCCCCGCCCCCTTCTTTTAATGCAATATGTCACTTGGAGATTTTTCTAAATGGACATTCATTTTTAGGAATTCCTTAGAATTTTTGGCAAACTTGGTTCAAGCAACGTTTCTGGAAGATTAATGTAACTTACACCATTAAAGACCATGGAGAACCCTACAAAATTCTAATCTTCAGTGTGCAGAAAATGCATTAATTTCTGAAACAGTAGGTCAGTTACATAATGCAAGACAAGAGTGTGTTTGCCAGTGGACTTCTGAATATGAAAAAGCAACTGTTTGCTAGCAGATAGACTGCTAGTAGTAGAATAGCTTCTGCTGTCTGGCTGTGAGAATTGTAATTGTACTTATTCTTCCTTGTGACTCATATAGCTGTATTTAACCACCACTTAAAAGGCTATACCTTTATTTTTAAAATCAGCCTGCAGTTTTAAAAGAAAAAAAAAAAGCTTCCATTATAAATACAGGAGTCCTTACATATTTAAAGGTGGCAAAACTTGCTTTCTTGTGACCAGCATATCAATCATGCAAGCAATGTTACTGCAGATAAAGATTCTCACAGAGTTGACAGCAGTCATAATATCTAGCTTTTTTTTTTTGATAGGGATTAATGCTATTGCCACATACAGTAAGAAGCCTAGCAGTAGAAAGGCTGTTCAGACCATTTTCTCCTCTGCTTTCTTTCCTTCAGGAAGCAAAGACTTGGCATTTGTGTATTTTATATATCTTTTCCTAAACTCTTGCAAATTCTTGCAAGCTCTGCAAGCTTTTCATTTGAAACAGCTGCTAAATTTATTATTTCATGCCTGCAGAATTAAATGCATGTACCTTTTCACGTCTTATTTTTTTTGCACTTTCTTTCCTACATTTTTATTTTTACTGTGGATTTGAGTTTTCTCTTATGCAGATCAGGAAAGTCTAGTCGTTCCTCCTTTCTTGATTTTCATGTTTCTTCCCCCGCTTACACAGTGTCTGTGATTTTTTTTTTTTTTTTTTTTTTATTGAGGCTTCAATTCTACCCTGGATTGAGTTGCTCTTTAACTCAGTCCCAAGTTCGTAAATCTCTAATCCCTATAATTCTCTGGTGGTCACTGCTGACACAGAACTGAGAGCACGTCGCTTGCGCAGTGTTCAGCCAAAGAGTGCAAAGGAAGGTTTTTTGCAAAGTGTGTGACTTGCTATAATACAGCATGGTACTCGTTGGAACAATCTGATTTATAAAAAGACTGTACTCCTACTCTCGCACTTGATCTTCCAGCACAAATAATAAAAATGCTGCACCCTCTTGGCGCCTGTGCTCGTCCCTTTTGCATGGGGAGACTTAACGAGAGTGCCGCATTGTCTGATTCTGTGAGCGAAGGCCTCCATGAAACAGCTGGGGTTCCTCTGTAGCACGCAAAAAGCGTGGTGAGAACACAGATGTACAGAAGCTTGTGGGAAGGCTTGAAATTTTACATATTGCTGAAGACTCTTAATCTTGGCTTGCACTCAAGTTCTTGCAGTGATGGGTAGCATACTGTGGTATATTTAATAGGCTGAAAACTTACTACATTAACTGTGTAGACTAGACCCAAGTTTTTTTTTACTTTACTGAAACATGTCATTCATACAAATCTTGGAGTGCCTATCGGAAGATTAGGTTCAGTTCTACGGTTCTTATATTTTAAAACTCTATTTCTGTTCCCAAAATCAAACTCCAACTTCTGTTTGTGAACACCCAAAGACTCCTAAAGTTGTTTACAACTCATGCTAGCGATGACTCTTATGCCCAGGGGTGAAGTTCTTGAATCTTGGTCGGCCAACCCACGTGGTCTGTTGGTTGGCATAACACCAAAGCCACTGCGCATCCTGTCTCCTGCGTGCCTTGGTACAGTGCTTCCAGGAGTGCCAGCTCTGTAATAGGCCAACCTCCCGGGCACTTGCAAACGTCGCTAATGCCTACTGGAAATTATTCACAATGTTAGACTACAGCAATAAAGCGTTAAATAATTTATAAGATCCTAACGTGAAATTTATTTGTAATTTCCTCTTACTAATGCTTGCTTTCAATTCTTCCCTCCCTCTTTCTTTTCCAGCAGATTACCATTGAATTGGATAATGCTGAGGTTTTAATTTTATTTATTTTCTACGGTGTTGTTTCTATGGTGTTTGTTTTACGAGTAGCACTGTGATCTGTCCTGTTGTCTCTTTGGCACTGAGCTTTCTGATATGTATGCATTGTGTCAGTGAATTAGTTGACTTCTTAGTCTGCCGTGTCTCTACACTGGGAATAGTTACCATAACTAATTCCATATGTCGTTCTTTTGAATATTAGTCCAAATGCAGTTATAATTTCTGGCAGTCTGCAATCATCTGGTGCCATAATAGTTCTCATAAAGTTTAGGATCAGATCTGAATGCCTTAGGAATATTAACTGCCATAAGCACCATTAAAATGTCAATATTTAGCACCCACAGTGATTACTGCGTAGTCTTCGAACAGGTTCTTTTAGCTCTTTGAAAATCGAAATACTGAGTTTTAATGGCATTCATATATAATTTGGAAAAAATTGTCAAAAGCCAGCTGGAGAAGACCCTAAATGATTTATCTTTACTTACTGACTAGCGAGAATCATTACTCATTTCCCAAGGTACTTCATGCACATGAGACTAAAAAGGGCTGGGCCCTTGTGTGGAAACTGTATGCCTGCTTTACAGAAAAAGATGACTCTCGTGCTGTTCATGAAATTATCTAGCTGTCTTTCCTGTTGCTTCTTAGTCAGGTTTGGTATATAAAGCCATGTAAAACGTTACGATGTGTTGAGAAAGCGGTGTGGTGTAACTCTATGAAAATTCTAACTAACTTCTAAGGCTATTTCTGCATGAAACACTTCCTATCATGAAAAACGATGCTTCAGTTGGCAGTACAACAGCCCAGCCTGTGTTTATGCTATATGTGGCTGTTTCAAAGGCAGAAAAGCCGTATTTGAATGAGAACTGCAGTTTATCTGAAATTAAGCTTTCTAAGAACTTAAGTGGTGCGTTTTGTTCAGACGCTATTATATGGGGGTAGAATGAGTTGAGTTTAGCTGTCTGAGTTGCAGCAGCTTCCTCAGGCATCTCAAAAGGAAAAAAAGTAGTGTGAGCACTAAATCTGAGATTTTTTGCTAAATGTATAACGCTGCAAAAGTGATTGACTAGCACGTTATTTCACTGAACTACCAGGGGAAAAAAATATTTTCCTGTTTGTGGTTTGTTTCCTGTGTTCTCTCCCAAGCCAACCTTTTCTTTGGAACAAAATTCAATCACTTAATGCTTAAGATGTTACTCTTGTTTATTTAGTAGAATAGATAATGAAATACACTATAAATAATTTTCTATAAAACTTAATTTTGGAAATTAATCAACTGAATTTATTTAGGTGAACTTTGTTTTGAGAAACAAATAGTATTTGGGGACCTCGGCTGTTGAAACAGATTGAGATCCTAACTGTTAGCTACAAAAGTAGACCCCAATAGACGTATCCCCCAGTTCTTGGATGAAGGACTTCTAGAGGAGGGAGTTTAAAAGAAAACTCCTTCCTCATGAAAACAAATCAGAGTGGTATGGGGGTGGTTAGTTTGTGTGGGTGGGGGGTTTTTTGGGGGTTTTTTTGGAGTTTTGGTGGGGGGGTTGTTGGGTTTTTTTGTTTGTTTGTTTTTTAACCTAACCTGTGGCTGGGACACTCAAAAGCCCCAGCTTTGCCATCTTACAGTGTCACAAGTCAGTACCATCATCTTGAACTGCTCTGGGGTCCTCTCTTCAGGTATTCTGACCACTTTGGAGCAGAAGCTCCATCCTGGATCTGAGATACCTTTCCTAAGAAAAATCTCAAGAGTCTCCCATCGGAAGTTTCAGTTTCAAAGAAACTACATTTTCTAATGACAAACTCTTTCATCAGAAAATCCTCACCTAAAACTACTCAGAACCCTCAATCTGTTGTTTGTAGCAATTTTCTGCTTTTAGTGTGCACTTCCCGTTAATGTGCGTAGAAGATAACTGATGAGCAGAGAATATGAGTCTGGCTTTTGTTCTGAATGACACTTGTTTCATGTAGTGGAAGGCTGCTTATTCCAGTGGAATCGCTTCTGACCTGCATGAGAATGAGAAGGCTCAGGTGTGTCTCCAGGTGTTGCACCACACTTACTATTTAGCTACAGGAGTGCTTTGGTGTCTAACCTTTGTAATTTGTTTCCTCTTTCTTATTTTTTTTAACCAAACTAAAATGTTTCTTCTTCTTACCTGAGACCTGAGAGTACTTCACCAGAAATGTGCTGTTTTTGAAAAGTTAATCTGCTGCATATTAACATTTCTATCAAGTGCTAACAAGTACCCCTTAGATTAGGTGGTACTACAGCTTCCTGGAATAGGGCCTACAATTCATCTTGGAGAAACTTCAGACAGAAGTTTGAATTGTTTAATTGCAAATTAAATCATATGAAAATCTTCCCCTTCAGTTTCTGGCTGCAGCATGCTGTCTTTGCCTGTAATAAATCAGACAGAGTGTGCAGAGCAATTCAGAGTTTGGTCTGGAGGCTGCGAAGGAGGAATGTTCCTGCTCCTTGGTGGAACGGTGCCCTGGATGGAGCAGGTGTGTTTAACTCTCGGAAATGAGCATCATCTGTTTATAGGAAGGGATTCAGATCGTGGCTCAAATCACTGAGAATTCTCAAAGGAAACCCTCATGTTTCCCTTTTTTTCTTGTCCCTCTGGCAACTGTAAACATTTAGGGCAAAGAATACAGAAAACTCCATTACTAATAAACTCCATTATTAACTTCCTTGTCTGTCATACTCTGGGCAGTGTAATTTTTCTGATCACTGAAATGTTCCTCATTCCCCGAGGATAAAACCGTATTAGAGTAACTGTCCTATGGCATAGCTTTGTGATAATTTCACAGTATCTATGTAAGATTGCATACGTAGATAGAGCTACGTATCTTAGAGTTACTACTGCAAAGTAATTTCAGTGAGGGGGTCCAAATGCTTGCCCTTATGGAATGAGCGCTAATAATAAAAATGACAGCAGGTACATACCTCTATTATCGGATGTTGTAGTAGTAAGGAAGTTGGAGTCACAGTCCCTCTTAAAACTCTTTCTGATTGCAGAAAGGGAGTGCCCTTTTCACGGGTGAATGCTGCTGGAATCCACCGTGGTGCCCTGGAAATCCCCTGCAGAACAGGAAGGATTGTGAGCAGCTGTAACTGTGTGGGTCAGTCGGGACCTCTGTGTAACAGTGTGGCTGGCAAATCTGATTTTCTGAAGTATTTGCAATGCTGAAGTAGTGTTGTGGAAATGTAGGGAAGGAGTAAAATATGTTTTAATCCAGTTGGCCTTACATTGGCCTAGTTCATTTACTTTCTATTGAAGGTTTTATCTTAAAGGTAGCGTTTGGTGTCACTGTTGGAAAGGAGTGGCAGGAAGGAACTACTGTTCTCTAGGAGAGGTGGTATGATGTGGTGTTTGTTTTTAACATCTATTAATGTAGTCTGAGGACCATGAACCTTTCTGGCAAAAATACGGAGATAGAATTTTTATGCTTTCGTAGAGGTTTTTCAAATTCTGCAGCCTCTAGTATTGAGGCAGGCCTCACATATAAGGTTTTTCCTGGGGACAGAAATCATGATATACTGAAAATGAAATTTATTTTTTCAGTATTTCCAAAACGTTCAGACTTCTGTAAACTGTAAATGTGCACAGACCTTTGGGATAGGGTCTGTGAAGAGTGATATTAAAGAGCAGAAAACATGTCTTGGAAGATGAAAGAAAAGCATAATTGGTCTTAATAGAGAACCAAAAACCCAGTGTTGCTTTGGGTATTCAAGTCATGCTCTCAGGGAGTTGTATGTTGAGAGCTTGTCTTTCTGTTTCCACCACGAGCTCCTGGTGTTGCAACTTTGCAGACTTTCCCAGAGCATCAAACTGATGTTACTCTGACTCTGTGGAGATTAAAAAGCCAAATAGGGATGACTTAGCATAGGCTCTCTGCAGATGTTTCTAGTAACAAAGAATAAAATCCTTAGATAGGACACTGATGTGTTCTCTGTAAAAGCTCTTAGGCCAAGTCTCTCTTAATCTACTCTTTGTGTACTAGGCTTGTACTCCTGTAATTTTTGTTCTGATGGAGTTGCTACTAATGCTGGCTTCTCTAAGAGGAGGCTCAGGACCAAACTAAATTTTTCTTAAGTGTTATCAAGTTTAAATCTTGGCAGTACAGTAACAATTAAACCCCTGTTACGGTTAGATACAACAGCTTGACTTGCTTTTAACTTAATCCGTAACCCACAATGAAGTCTGAACACCATACAAGTGCAGACTTTGCAGGGCTCCAGGACTCAAGTTGAGATGATTGTATGAATCTGGGGTTCACTGTGGTCCAAGAGCACGAATCCAGTAGCAAAGCACTCCCCCACTTCCAAGCCTTTCATGCCAAGTTCCCGGTCTGCTGCTCTTGGATTCAGATAGGTGTCAGGAGTCTTTAGACACTAAGAGGTATATGTCTCAGAGAAAAGAGCTGCTATTACGGAGGAGTGAGTAAGGAGGAGAGAAGTGTTAGCCTTCACCTGCAGGTGGCATTCACATGATGCCGAATGTGGCTGGGAGATGTCCTACTTCTTTTTCTTTTTTTCTTTTTTCTTTTCTTTTTTTTTTTTTTTCCTCTCTACATTGCAGTGAACTGCTCCATTGGGCACCTGCCAACATTCAAGCGGCAGTTACATAAGAAGAGCTTTTTTTTCCTGGAATTTAGGCCTGCTGCTGATGTGTGACCTTCAGCAGTAATTGCCAATAAATGTGGTGGAGCTGTTTACAGTTACTTCAGGCCACGCTGAGGCTGCCAGGAGCCAAGGCTGCAGCGGTAGCTGCCACGGTTGTATGGCTGCTGGTTCTTCTCAGGATAATGCTGTTCCCATATGATTGGATCTGTATTTTTTATTATTCAAATTGTTTGTCTGCCTGAAGAGAGAGCTCTGTCAAACCCTTGTTCCTCTGCAGAGCTGATGATGGTCAGTCCTTGAGACTAAACCCTGGGCAGGGATGGTCCCTGGCCTGTCATCTTTGCACATAGTTAGCAAAAAACAAAAAGACCA